TCAGGCAATTATGGCTATAATGGCCATAAAAGCAATTCCCTACAAATCATCTCATTATGATTTTCAATACTATTTGTTAATATTGGTTCTATTGGGTTAAATACATTATTACAAGTAGTTTTCATAAAAAATACTTTTATACTCAATGTTACCCTTCTTTTTCTTAAAGTGTTTATAAAGGGAGCTCTGGCAGCACAGTCCATAGGGAGGTGAGTTAACCCAAAGGTGACACCTCTTCTCTGGTGGTTTGAATCCACTACCGCCTCTCCAGGAGAGATATGGGCAAGCTCCTCCCATGTGCTTTACAGACTCAGAAATCTAAGCCAGGGCCAGCGATGAGTCAGCTCCCACTCAAAGGCACTGAGCTTGGTTTTGAATGTGATCATAGAGAACTGAGCCTCCCATGCACATGCATCCTAATGCTGCTGGACAACCTTGATTTAATATCATTTGCTTGTGCATAAGGCACTGAAGCGCGCAAATAAGAAAACTGATATATTCTTCTCTCCACAGATTTTCATCCTCAGGTACCATGACAGTGGGGCTTACAGCAGTAGAATGGGATTAGTGAACAATATTTTTCAAGTCTGAGTTATTTTTTATCTAAGTAACCTGGAAATTTGTTATGGTTAAGTTTGTTCCTGTCAGAACAATTTTACAGACAAAACCTGAAAGACTTTACAGCTCTTTGTTCTTTGTTCTCAAAAATCCCTGGATAGACTTTCTCCTATGATGGGACCTCCTGATCTCACCTCATGGGAAAGCTGGTGGCTGCAGAGGGAAACACCTGTGAAGTCTTCTGAACCACCCTTCTCAGAGGACATACAATATGCTGCTGAACCATAGAGTCTCAAACCTGAGCCTGTTTCTGCTCCCACAACAACTACACATGCTATTTGCATGAGAATAAAACAGTCATACTTAATGAGCTCTGGTGGCCTAGTGGCAAGAAGCTGCGCGCTGTAACGCTGAAGGCACTCAGTTCAAGGCCACCAGGTGCTCCACGCAAGAAGGATGGGAAATCTCCTCGCATTCGATTGACTGACTCTGAAAACCTGCTGGAGCATCAGCTATGGGTCAGTTCTGACTTGACAATACACAACAACAATTATTTACATTAGTTGAACTGATATTTTAGAAGAAAAGAAGAAATCGCAAGATTTTGGGAATTCTCAGTTAGAAACATTTTATTTCTCAAAATTAAAACCTCCCCCAAGTATTTTTATACGACAGCCACTTTGTCATATTAGTCACTGACTGTCAACTGTACTTCATAATTCATTTATTAAATATGTAAGTGCCACCATCAGTCTGATGTTGAGCTGTGTGCCAAGGATGTGGCAATAATTAGGGTAGAAAAAGTCTTGTTCTCACAGAGGAGGGAAAGCAAAGAAAAGCCCAATGATTCATGCATTTATACTAAGTGTGATAATAACCTACACTAAAAAGCACCTGGAATTAGGAGGGGAATTTTGCAGAGGAATCAAGTGCAGGTGGGGTCCAGGAAGCCTTCTGAGTGTCCTTTCTCTGGACTGGAGGGAGATGATGACGTCAGCCAAGCAAGGCAAAGCGAGAGGTGCCTGCCAACCACTCAGCTCCCCTCAGGCCATGGTGGGATTTTCAGATGTAATCCTAAAAGCCATGAAAAGCTCTAGAAGGTTTTATGCACAGAAAGGATAAGCTCAGATTTGTCGTCTTAAAATACCACTCTGGAGGTGGGCAAGAATAGATGTGGGCCTTCAAAAAGCATTTCCAAGAATTCCTGAAAATAGATAAAAATCTCTTAGGTCATCATTTTAACAGGAACTGACATAAAACTGACTAAAGATATAGTAGATACATAAACTCTGTTGTTGTTGTTGTTGTTATGTGCCGTCGAGTCATTTGCGACTCATAGCGACCCTATGTACAACAGCCCTAAACCGTGCTCTATCCTGTGCCAATCTCATTGCCTCTGACACACCCATCCTGATTACCCCATATACTCTAGGATCACAAAAATCTGAAAGCTAGCAATTTTCGGGTCTGACTCCCATAGAAGGCAGTCTCAGAGTCTCCAACCATTAATTTCTGCTGGGCTCTGCATGCAAATTTGCTACTTGGGAGCCTCTGCCCTGCTCTGCAACAAGCTTCTTATTCAAGACCAGTATCCAGCTGTCCACACTGGTCACCACACTGGGGTCACTGTTGGGCTAAGCAGGCACAGTATTAAACTAAGTTGAAGAATTGGGGGCTATTAAATGAAAAACATTTCATTTCTAAAGTTAAAAACATCCCCTAGTAATTTCCTCCTTTGAGTCTTTCTGAATTTCTGTTGTATATGCTCTGAAAATGAGGAGTCACATATTTACATCATGGAGCCCTCTGGGTGTAGTGTGTAACATTACTGGACTGCTAACAGAAAGGTAGGGAGCTCTGCTGGCCCAGTGGTAAGGTCCCTAACAGATTAGAGCTACAAAAATTTTTTTCCAAACAAGGTCATAATGTGACGTTCTAGCTGGACCCTGGTTTTCTATTCAACCCACTAACACATGACAGAGTCTAATGCCATTATACTCAGACACAGGAAGAAGTGTCACAGTGGATATTTAATATCTTCTATATTATGAATTTCTTGGTTTTATTTTATGTTCAAAATCAGGGGGGAAGTTACCTTTTTAAAAAAAATGTGTGTATAACTAGCACTGCATTTAAACTACACTACTGTTATTAAGTTCCATTAAGTCAGTCCTAAGGTAGAGCAGCCGTACGTACAGGAGAATGTAATGCTGCGTGGTGCTGTGGCTTTTCCACAATCATTGCTGCATTTGATTCCACTGCCATACTCACTGTGTCAGTCTATCATCCGTTCCTTCTGAGAACATAAACAGCACACCTAAGAAAAGTCGTCCTTGTTCTCTCTTCTTTTGTTTTTATGATTTGAACTCTGGTTCTATGGGTTAGGTATGTATTTGAAAATTTTTACTTAATAGAAAATAATTAGAAATGTTTATTTCCCCAGTGACTCTTCTAGATAAAAAAAAGAAAAAAATTTATATTGTTTTGCTTACACAGTTCGTATACAATTGTGTTTCACAATGGGAATGATTGTATCCTGTCTTCTAAGGAGTGTTCTGCCTGTATTCTTCCAAAGCACTTGTTCATTCTTCTGGAACCATATGGTATATTACGCATTTTTCCCCAATTTCATAATTTAAAGGCAACATAAAATAGGTTATACATTATCTTTCCCTATATTTATCTAAAGCCAGTAGTATTTACTGAACATTAATGCAACTCAAGAAATATTCTCTTTTCCTTCCTTGCCCTGCATTTATCTATCTGTATCTTTGTAGAAATAGGTAACCAACATTTATCTTGTAAGTTCTGGCAATCACAGAGTACTCTGAAGTCTTATGCAAAGATAAAGATACAAATCGCATATATATGTTGTTATTGTGCACCACAGAGCTGGAGTGACCCATAGCTGACCCTCCAGTGGGTTTTCAGAGGCAGTTAATCACACAGGATGAAATTACCCATCCTTCTCTCATGGAGCAGCTGGTGGATTCGAACCAGCTGGTGGATTCGAATCCTGTGCCTTCAGCATTTGCCGTGCAGGCTCTTACCACTAGGCCACCAGAGCTCCTCATATATACAACGCAATTTTTTTTTCAGTTCAACTGCTTTCCAGAACTTGACTTAAGAGAGTTGTTTAAATATTAAGGTAAAGATCTGCCCCTAAGAACTCTTTGTATCTCAGTGAACTATAAGTATCTTAATGAAGAGAATAGGTGGAAATTAGAAGTCTGTTCTTTGCTTAATTAGCTAACTATCTGAAAATGATAGCTCTCAGGAAAGCTTTCAAACTAACAAAAACTAAATCATCTACATCTAAAACTGTTACTGTTATGTGCTGTCAAGTGGGACTTAACCACAGCAGACCCTCCAGAGGGTTTTCAGAGGCAGTAAACAACATGGGAGGAGAATGTGCATCCTTCTCCCTCAGAAAGCTGGTGGATTTGAACCACAGGCCTTTGGGATTGAAGAACAGCTTCCTGCCACTAGGCCACCACACCTATGAAGAAATATGAATCTTGTCTTATCTTAAAACAGAAAGAAAGAAAAAAAAAAGGAAGAATGCTATTTCCAGATATTTGTTCCTCTTCAAAACAACAGCTATATAGTCCCAAGTAAAGGGTTGGATAAAACCAAAACCAGCGATAGAGGGCAGCAGAGAGTCAGGGCTGCTTATTCATTGTTGACATCCTGCATCCCCACACTCTGCTTTTCTTATCTCTTGCCCATGGTGCTGGAGCACCTGAAAGCTATTCAGCCTTGCTCCAGGTTTCTACACAAGGAAGTTAGGAACAGTTATATCAGTAAAGGAAGAGATGTGAAGAGAACTGTGGTAGAGTCTGCTTTGCTCTGCTAGACCTGGTGCCTTGCCCCAATTCTGTCTGGCTCTCTCTTCAAGGTGTAATCGACTGCCTCTACTATCGTTTCTGCCAAAGTGCAACCGGTTAACTAGAACTACTGCTGCTCCTGATGTGCTCAGAGAAGCAGCAGAAGGAAGAGCAATGTTCAAAGATTTCAACTACTGCTGTCTAAGCACAAAATCACGATTTCACAAAAGCTATTCAGCCTCCTACTTCTTCACACCTTCCTAGAATCATTGTATCTTAAGCCCATTCCTTTTTCATTGTTTTTGTTACCACTGCCTTGAAAATAATAATTCCATTAATAACATCTTGCAGCTACCTTGACACTATGTACCACTCAAGCGGTCTACACAAGGCTGTTAAATAATACCACAGTCCAATGAAACTAGACTCCTCTTTAATTCAATGTGAGCCTCAAAAAGTCCCTCTCCGTCACCCACAGTCAAAACACATGAACAAAGTTGCTAAAGGTCCAGAAAAGTTGAGTGATCAAGGAGAGGACAGGCTGTCGAAGATTTCCACTAAAGAAAACTTCAGAGTTATCTTGGAAGGACACCCAAATGCTTCATAATCCCTTACCTGGATTGGGTTGAAGGTATTCAATTGTTTTAGTCATGATTTCCATCACAGCCCTGCTAGTGACGTCCACTTTCTGAAATGAGAAAATAAGTATTCTTGAGAAAAGTGAGTATCTTTAAAACCTTCCCCCCTCCTCCTTGGTTGTAGCTGTAACTGCTGGTAGTGCAATAGAGCCATGGGAAGTCCTGCAGGAGAAGCGATGAGGGAGGTCAGAGTGCTCTCAGGAGTAATAACAGGTTTGTAGTCCACCAGGCTCAACCAAACATGAAAATTCTATTTTTCCAGGAGCCCTAACGGCACAAGGGCTAAGTGCACAGCTGCCAAGACTCAGTTTGGTGGGTTGAAATCACCCAGCGACCCTGCAGGACAGAGACCTGGAGATCTGCTTCCATAAAGATTACAGCCTGTGGATGATTTGACTGTGTCACACAGGTTCTCTGTGAGTGTGAATGGATTTAATGTCACACTATAACACAGGACTTTCATCCAAAGGCGAACCTAGCTGGTAATAGTCTAAAATCTGTTTCCAAGTAGATTTTATTATCTAATGACGTGAACAAGGTAGAGGTAGCCATTTACTGGATGCCTCCAGTGGGCCAGCATCACAGAGGGCTTTTCTGAGTAACAGAGGGAACTGGGCAGCATCAGATCTGCTCATTTAAGTCAGAGGGAGGAGATTTTAATTTCATTTCTGACCACAAGCTAAGGAAATAAAAGTGCCATGCAAATATTTTGGGCCAGTCCTTGAGCCTTAATTAACCTTGAGATTAATCTTAACAAAAATCTTGGGGCTCAAGTGTGCCTGTGCTCCTCAGTCAACTCTGAAGTGTCAGTGTTGCTCTCAGCAGCTCACCATGACCTCACCTTCAGATCTTTCCTCCCACACGGTACCAACACCAGCCGCGCCTGAGTCAGCTGTGACTCAGGGACCCCAGGTGTGCTACAATGCAAACGTGCTCTAGTGGGGGTTTCAGTGACTCGCTGGTGCAGGATGAGACCAGCACCAGGTCATTAGGAATCACAGTTGACTCCATGGCATTTCATAACAGTTTTTCTTCTTCTCACGTGCCTGTGGGTGGATTTGAACCTCCAACCTTTTGTTTAACAGCTGAGCATGTTAACTCTTTGCACCACCCAAAAAGACCACTCCTCCTTTGCTGTTGAATACAGTCAGTTCCTCTCACAAGAGCCTTTTCTTATCGACAGGTGTGGTTTACTTAATCAGACATCTGGTAAATGAGTAATGAGCGTACATACAGAAATCTAAGGAAGGTATGCACATAATATAGATATGAATGGAAGGAATGGGTGTTTAATCAAGGAATTCCACATATCAACTGAGTCCATGGGGATTTTTTTTTTTTAAAATTGAGGTTCAAGGGATCCTCCCCCTACTCCTGGAAGCTTTCATATTCTGTTGGACCTACACAGACCATCAGCCCGCCATGGGGTAAACCCTCCTCTCTTACGTAATCTAGTCCTAAAAGGGCTTTAGCTTTTACTTCAACTTTTTAATACTTATATAAATTTCCATTTAAGGGAAGTCGTATTATTGTGTGTGGAGAGATTTAGATACTATTGGAATAAAAATATGAAAACAACCCCCTCCACCCCCCAACTCCCATGAGCTTGTTGCCTTATGCTATTAAAGGCATTAGATTTCAGGTGTGCCTACAGACATATGGGCCCTGTAGCACATTCTACTGCATCATCCAAATTTTACAAAACGTATTAGATGTAGTTACCCTACATTATGTCTGGTTCTGAAGCAAACAGTGCTTCACGGAGTTAGGTGATGTAAACCGCTGGTGTGGCTCTGTGTGCAGCCGTGCATCATGGGAGGCCTGACATTACTGGCACATTGTCAATCAACCCTGACACAGTCAATATCCTGGAAACAAAATCAAAGGCCATGTGCAGAAGAAGGGTGTTCAGAGTCCAGATGCATGAGTAACAGGGCACAATTTTAATCTCTCGCTGACTATATGATAGCAACTGAAGAATTCAACGTCACCTGTATCCAAAGGTTCCATGAATGGGAAGGAAAAGAATCCCAGAGGTCATAGGTCAGAGGCTTCTTCAGAGAAGGTGTCACTGGAACTGGGAATTCTAACAAGCTATTTGTTATCCTAATGTCATCTACTGTCAGGCTGATCATTTTCCAACTTGTCTCCATCTTTCTGCTCAATAACTCTAATAGTCATGATCAGAAAGTAATAGCTACTTGATGAGACTGTTGTAAAGTCTTTTAACGTATTGACAACGTTAATCCTCACAAACCACTAGAGGCACATGAGATATGGAGAAATAGTAAGTTTTCCCAGCTCCTCCTCCACAGTCCGTGTTCTTAACACCATATGGATTCATCACCACAGAAAAGAACGGGCTGGACAGCAAGTGGTTTGCTTATTTGTATTTTTATTTGTATTTTTCAAAGAATAAACTCCACATAAGAAGTCAGGCAGGGCATAAACGTAAAGAGACATACCAAGGCAGAGAGGAAGACTTTCTAGGTTGTACATGAGACGGGACTAGACACCAAATAGTGGTCCATAACCAAGGTTAAGAGGAAAGCAACTTCCATCCAGCCAATGTTTTAATCTTTAAAGTCATCAACGTCTATGAAAATTTCATTCACAAGAATTATTCTCATAGCGTTAATGAGTTACAATAGAAATCCCAGAGATTCTCTAGCCCATAAAGCCTAAAATAAGGAGAGACAGAGTTTGCTAATTCTTGTGTGAAGATAATAGTTTCACCGAGGTGCACCATTCCTAACCTGGGACTGTGCTGACCATTTCTCCAGCCGACCTCATGCCTTAGAGAAAATACAAAAGGGAATCAAAAGCTAGAATGCAGTCATTGTGCCCTTATCTGAATGCTGCCTTTCTCTCCTGGAGTAAATTCAATACAGTGTTTCCTTAACTTCAGGGGAGACACACCTGAATAGCATAATATTTTTTTAACAGCATATATTCTTGTGGAGCAAGAAAAACACTAAAGATAAGATTGTATATTGTCAAATAACATGTAGTTAAATCCCTAGGTTACAATTTATGGCCATACTTACTCTTTAAAGTTATGTACATGTGTCTTCACTTTGAAAATATTAAACCAACTCTGGCTTTCAACAGACTCATTATCATAATCATCTTCATTTGTTACATGTGAATATTTTACATCAATGAAAAGTCCTTGACTTTTTCTTGCACTAAAATAAAGTCTCACTGTCTTCAAGTTTGTCCTGCCTTGCAGCGGCCCTTCCTCTGTTGGGTGTCCAACGCTATTGGTCTTTATAGGAGAAGACTGCCCATCTTTTCCACTGGTCCAGTGGATCCAAACTTCTGACCTTTTGATTAGCGGCCTCTGCACCGGGGCTGCTATTCCTGAAGGAGGACATCAGGTTTAGTAAAGTGGCTGTACAGTGGAAAAGGGGAAGGCTCTGAACGAGACAGACGGGCACAGCATCTGTAGAAAACGGCCTCCAACACAGCAACGATTATGAGAAGGGCACGGGACTCGGCAGGGGCTTAATCCGTTGTTTGCAGAGTGGAAACCTAGGTGACAGCACCACACCCCACCACACTGACCCAGAGAAGGTCATACACTTGTCCTTAGCCCATCGCACTTTGATGTACTTAATGCTGGGTCTTCAGTCTGGTTAATAAACAGTGTGCTTAAAATGAAAAAGAAATAAACTGGGTTGAAATTTCCCAATGCATTTTTTTTGCTTGTTTTTTTAATTTTTTTGGGGGGGGGCATTACTATTGATAAATATTAGTTGGGATTTTTTTTTTTAGGCAAGTAATTGAAAAGAAAATTTTTTCCAATGAATTTAACTTGATGTGGAAAGATGTTTTAAGTGCTCATCCTTTCTGGGGCTCTCTCTTACATCTCTACAATGTCTTAGTCTAGAAACTTTCTATTTGTATCACGACATCCATGAGACATTCATGGGGATGCCAGGCCCTCATGACTGTACTTGAGATCCTCACACTCTGTGCAAGCTAAGCCAAACCTTGCTCCTTTCCCTCTTGCTCAGGAACTCTAATGGGGACAGAAAAGGGATGTTATTATGAAAAGTAACTTTCCACAAAACTCACAAGAGTGAAGATCACTGTGTTTCACACTTGAGTTGGAAACTGAGTGGAGCGTCTAAACATGGGCACTGCTGGGAAAGTCACAAATTTTTCTGAGGCTGTTTTTTATTTGCTGTTCGCTTGGTTTTTAGCAGATCTGATGGCCACTCTTTTCCTGTATTGAGCCAGTAGCGATTTCCACAGTTTCTACTTAGTGAATCTAGTTTTCTACATTTTGGATAGAACTTGCATTGAAGGATCTGTTGTTGTTGTTGTTGTTGTTGTTAGGTGCCATCAAATCTAGTAAGACTTGTAGTGACCTTATGATCAGATCTGAACCTTGTCCTCTCCTGTGCCACCCACCTCATCTCTGACACACCTGAGCCCCCCGCTGCGGTCACTGTGCCAAACCATCTGATTGAAGGTGCTGCTCTCTTTCACTGGTCCTCAACCTTTACAAGTATGATGTGTTTTTCCAAGGATTAGAAGGACAGAAAGAGATCGACTGGCACAGTGGCTCCACAATGGGCTCAAACCCAGGCCTGATGGTGAGAATGGAATAGAACAAGGCAGGGTCTCATTCTGTGGTTCACAGATTAATAAATCTGCATGTGACTAAGGAAGGATCTATACATGACTAGCTCAATTTTGAAAAGAAAGATTATGGACATTCTCCTATCAACCATTCTCCACGATCCACTTAGTGAACAAGTCAAGGACAATCTTTGCCACATGGAATGGCAGCCTTCCATTCTTCTTCAGCATCCTAGTTTTCTTAAAATGTAAGGCTTTAACAGGACACATTTTCATGGATGTGGTCTAAAGGCAAGTGTTTTATTCTGTTGGTTTCAATAGACTTCTTAGGTCACTTTGGCGTTCCTCACATACAAGGCAACTAGGAAAATGCAGGCATTAGCTCCGCCTCCTTCTCCTCTGATCTGCTCAGCCTGACAGGAAGCCCCGCCCATGTCTCCTAGGGCAATCTGTGGTAGGACACCAAGTACTTGTCCTATAAGCCACTGATGGAGGTGCCTCTTTCTTCCATCAGTATGAGAAGTCCTTTGAAGGCAGGGACTGTGCTTTGGTCATTTATATATCCCTAGTGCCCAGCACAATGCATGACACTTAATGACATTTTCCAGTTTCCCACATGAATAAACGGTAAATACAAATTCACTACAGAAACCAATGGAGACCTAAGGAAGAAACGCAGGTGTCTGAAAATTCCAGAATGTCCTCAAGACTAACCGTTAAAAGTTTCCAATAATACACTTCATGTTCACATTGTAGTAAGAGCTCTAACCACTGTCTAATGAAGCTTAAAAGCAACATCTATTATTTGAAACAAAAAGTAACACAACTCTGCTCAATGGCCTTAGAAGAAATCCCTCTTGTGGAGTAACAACACTACCACAGGATTCCAACCATCAGTCCCAAGAGGGGAAGGCAGAGGGGGTTAGGAGACACTCGGTGTCATTAGAACATCTTGACAAGAGAGGGTGGGCCACATGATTGAAAGGACCAGCTGCTGCAAACACCCACTTCTCTCCACAGTCATGCCGCCTGATGAAGACCTCTAGTCCACTCCACTTGGTTGTCTAACTGCACCTCCGAGAACACAGCTGATCTCGAGTTTTTCCTTCGCTAAATGGTCAATGACCTGAGAACAGACAATGGAAAGGAGATTCCACTCGATTCTTAGGAACACTGAGCTGATTTGGGGGAATCATTCTCAATGGAAAGAGAAACTATAAATGGCATCCTAATTCAGACCTCTTGACTCCTAAACTGTGAAGAAAAAAATATTTGTTTGTTAATGCCACTCACTGCTGATATTTCTATTACAGCAGAATCTGATAGGTAAATAATTTGGCTTACATCATAAGAAAAATGGGATGAAATCTTTTCTTCACCACCTTTACCCTCACTTGCTAAGAATCTGCTATCATTTAGGCAGAATGCTAAATGATGTATACGATTTTTAATCTCTAATTAAAAATCATTAATTAGGTATTACCATCTTATTTTATGTTTATAAACGATTGTGGTCCAGAGCAATGAACTGTTTAACAAATGTGGAAATGGAGTATGGGTCAAATCCGGTAGATTTCAAAGTATATTCTTTCTACTGTCCTTAATGCCTCTGTGGCCACCACTGTATCAGACAAATCCTCTCAAGGTAGTTGTTGTTATGCGACCTTGTTATACGTCAAAGCTTACCCTCCTGTGGAGTTTTCAGAGGCTGTATATGGTATGGCGAAGGAGCTTGCTCCCAAGGTGTAGCTGGTGTATTCAAACCACTGTCTTTGAATTGGCAGCACAACTACTTTCTGGTAAGCCTTGAGAGAGTCACAAAAACACTCCTAAAAATACTTGAGATATCACTCCCTAACTTTCCCCCCTTTTTTTCTCATCTTAATTCCAACATACGGCCCTCAGGCCTGTTTTTCATTGTTTTTGTTCAAACATTCTTCTAGGTCATATAGCCCTGGTGTGTCCATTTTCCATACAGCGGTAACTCGTGGTGGCTGTGAGGCTGAACATTGTGACACTGATGAGTCAAATGTGGTAATGGTTACCTATGGTGGACAGTGTTTGATAGAGCTCCCCAATTAAAACAAGCTTGGAAGCAGGAATGGCATCCACTTCCGTAAGACTTGCCTACAGAAACCCTATGAACCTGGAGAAAGGATGAAATTCACAGAAGTGTTGAGGACTTTAGTTCATGGAGTTGCTATGAATCGCTTATGACTCGATGGCACTTAACAACAACAACAACAGACCTCTACTGTTTACATTTGGAAAAGTAATATCTATTAGGGAAAGTGAGCTTCAACATTTCATGTCACTGAACTTCTGGTCTCAGAATAAATAATGCAAAGGGAAATTAGGATTCTTTACTTTTTGGTGTAAATAAGCCATAAAAGGATAATATATTTAAGAATAGTAAGATGTCTTTTCAAAAACCAAAGGAGAACAGTTTTCTCTTCCTTTTATGCTTCCCCCTCTTAATGCGCTATGCAATTTCAGGTGAAGACTTACCCTTTCCATTTCTTTGAAGTCATCATCTAGCTTGGTTCCTTCAGCTCCTCCAACCTTCTCACTCACTTTCTGTATAAAAAAATAAAGGAAAATAAATTATTATAAACAAAGTTTCTCTCTAAAAAGGGAATTCCAAGCACTCTCAAAAACATCTTCGAAAGTAATCTCATAACCACACCATGGAATAGACAGTTTCACTATCATAAGAAGAAACTGTGATGCAAATTTTGTAACAATCACTAAGTTGATACAGTAGGGGTTCACGCAGATTTCCACCCTGGTGTTCTGTCTGCTATACAAATCACTGTATAACTACCCAATAACAATCACTTTCCTTTCAAAAGTTCTAAGAGACAACATCATCATATGGTACTAACTGCACTTTGATAATGGATTGAAAACACTACCTGAGTAGAAAATTGATACTTCTTCAACCTATTTTTCAATGGGTTATTAAATAGATAATCACAACCATCTATCAAACTTAAAAGGAAAAAAAAATCAGCCCAGCTGATTTTCATAGAAAAGGATGTCTTATAAAGCTCACGTATCTGTCTAAATTCCTGGAAGATTAACTATAAGGAAAACAACTGAGTTATTTCTTGGCCATCAACTCATTCCAATATCCTATATTTTATATTCAGAAACTAAAATAGGCAAATGATCTTTTATCCACATTTAAAATAGGTTATCACTGAAAAATTAGATATAGTATCATACCATGAAACGAAGACTCCAATTAAGTCTAATAAAAATGTATGAAAGTATCACAAGACAAATATCTTGGTTTTATTAAAGACAGAAATATAAATTGTTAATGGATACAAGACTCCATTAATCTTAAAATACCTAATTTTAAAGACAGAGAGAGGATTTTTCACTTCCTTCCCCAGCCACTGACTTGAGGATCACTGCAGAAGACTGTCACTATGGCCAGACCAAGAGTCATAACTGGATACCAGGGTCATCCAGTGAGTCAGGATACCTCCCTATGGAGGAGCCGCTGGACTTGGCTCTGTTTCCTAACCATGAAAAATCTGACAGTACTTGATTGAGAGTCTGTGCTCAGTCAGCACCAATCAAAGGCATGTCCTACAAAGGAAAACATATAACATGGAGTGCCCCTTTACCTCTCACTAGGCAATTTAATACTTGAGTCACTACAGAAATAAATGATACCATAAATATAAGACCCGTCTCTGGACCTTCTCTGTCTCCCCAGTAAAGTGTGAATTTTCCCCAATAAAGTGTGAATCTGCTCAGAGCATCCTATTTTCTGCCATGAGTTTGACAGATGTTTCACACCTTGAAAAGAATCTAGCAAGTTTCATGAACATAATACAGTCTTAGTTAGATACTGGTCAATAATTAAAAGTGGAAAGTTAATTAAAATAGTATTAATATTCAATAGACACATTTGCAATTCATCATTTTATATGTATGTGCCAAGGACAACGTCGAGCAGAACCAGATACTGCTGTTATGTTACAGAAGACAAAGTTGAGCATGGTGTATTTTAGCCGTCCTGGGTAAAGAGTATGAATGCTGCTTTCACATACTAATAAAGCATACTTAGGCTTCTGAGCAGTTAGACCAGGGGAGCTGTCCATGGTGCTAGCCCTTACTGCCTGGAGCACAATTATTAAGTTCAGTTGGCCAGAGCTGGATTCATTGTCACAACTCTTCACCTTTTGACATCAGTCCTTTAATTTACAAAGTCCTAGGTGATACGACATCAGCAGTTTGAACAGACCACAGCTTGGTTTGGCATAAATAACACCTAATGTAACTGTGACTGAGTCCAGCAATTGGCTTCTCTGTATTTGCGTTCTTTTAAAGAACAAAACAAAGCAAACAAACGAAAAATCCTACCAGAAAGGGAAAAAGGTGTTAAAAGTCTCGAAATGAGAATGAAATTCCTAACAGAACTCTTAGAACCAGTGACTTGCCATAAACGTCCAGGTATAAGTGAAAGAAAAACATGGATGAAAGAATTCTAAAGGTTATTACAGCTTCTTCCTATCAGCACGTTGAGCACAAATGAAGCAAATCATGTGACACTGACAATCTCCCTCTGACTTTGCTCAGTAACAGCAGATCCGGCTTCTATTTTTGACTCCCATTTTTTTAAATAAAATTTTTATTTTATACTGCTTTATTTACAAAGTTCATAGACATTGTTTTTCACACCAGATCATTCTCATGTCCTTAACTCACCCCTCAATCTGCGTGAGTGCTTTGGAGAAATACCATGTATATTCAACACTACAGTAGTTTCATTTGCGGATTTCTGAGTCATAAGTATAACAAGAACCTCTTAGTTGGTTATTTTTGGTTCAATCTTTCTCTCTTTTTGGGGGGAGGGGATTTTTTTTAAGATAGACACTTAGACTGATTTTCTTACAAAGTTCATATATGTTGTTTTTAACATCAGATCTTGCCCAGTTCCTTAACCCACCTCTCCCTCAACCCATCAAATTGTGCAACCCTCTGATTATACCCTCCTCCTTAGATCCTCATACACATTTTACTAGTCACCTATTTCTACAATTATGGTCTTATACAGTATTTGTCCTTATAGGACTGAGTTAGTTTACTCAGCATATTGCTCTCCAACCCCTCAAGTAGTGATCTACAAAATCATTGCTCCAGCATGTTGCATGGTATTCCACTGTGTTAATAATGTACCAATCTGTTCTATTCTCAATCCATTCTATTGCAGTTGGGCATTCGGGCTGTTTCCATCTTCTTGCAATAGAGAACAGCACTGCTGTGAATATTGGTGCACAAATCTCTGTGCAGTTTTCATTTTTCTCGGGATATATTCCAAGGAATGTAATAGGTGGGTCATACAGAATTTCTATGTTCAGCTTTCTGAGGAAACATCAAACTGCCTTCCATAGTGGTTGTACTATTTTACAATCCCACTAACAGTGCATATGAGTTTCTCTCTCTCTCCAGATCCTCTCTACCATTTTATTACATGCTGTCATGTATTTTTTAACCCCTATTTTAATTGTTTATTCTTGATATATATGTTTTCTTGTTATGTTCCATAGAGCAGCCTGCGACTCATAGAAAACCTATATACAACAGCTCTAAACCCTGTCCTATCCTGAGCTAGTCTCACTGATTCTGACACACCTAATCCCACTGACCCAGTCACTATGTCAAACTATCTCATATGTGGTCTTCCTGTCCCTGCACTCTTAGAAGCATGATGTCCTTCTCCAAGGTTTGATCCCTCCTAGCCATGTGCCCCAAGTATAGAGACAGAACTTCAAAATTTTTGCCTCTAAAGAGAATCTTAGTTATACCCTCTCCAAGACAGATTTATTTGTTCTCTTGGAGGTCCATCGTATGTTCAAGACTCTTCTCAAGCACCACAACTCAAAAGGCATCAGTTCTTCTTCTGTCATCCTTATTGTCCAGCTCTCTGATGCACAGCATGTAATTCCAGATCATGGCCTGGATCAGGCACACTTTAGTCTCTAGAGTGACATCATTACTCTTTAGCATTTTGCAGCAGTGCCTGACAGCAGATTTTCCCCAGTGCAACTCATCTTTTGATTTCCTGACTGCTGGTGGAGGTGTACTGATTGTAGAGCCAAGCAAGCTAAAATTGTTAACATCTTCAATCTCATCTCCATACATGATGTTGCTGCCAACTGGCCCAATGGTCAGAATCTTTGTCTTCTTGATGTTGAGCTTCAATCCATATTGAAGACTAGTCATCTGCAGCCAGTGCTTCAGGTCTTCTTCAGTTTCAGCAAGCAAGGTTAGGTCACCTGCATAATGCAGTTTGTTTGAGTCTTCAACACTGTGATATACAGATTACAGTAAAATTTTAGAGGTATAGCACTGGTCTGTCAGTTTCCTGCACTGGATAATGTCAGATTGCTATGATACTGAATGCTGTGTCACTGGTGTGTCAAATGCCATAACGGTTACCCATGGTGGGCAGGGTAGAGCTCCCAGATTAAGACAGGCCTAGAAGCAGGATTGACATCCACTTCTTACACAAAAGGCCTTTGGAAACTCTATGAACATTAGAGAAATGATGACAGTTATAGAACAGGGTTCAAATATTTTGTTCATGGGGTTGCTATGAGTTGTACTCAACTCAACAGTACTTAACAACAAGAACATTTTAGTTAGGAAACTAATACAGTCTTATAAAATAAGTGATTATTTGCTACAGAACTTCAAATCACCTGTCACCTCAGTTGAATGCATTCAATATAAAAAAATTTCATTTACCCAAAGTGTAAGTATTGTGAAAGTAAGATCATTATAGATAAAAGCACTCCCAATGTCTGAGAAGGAAAAATTTTTGCTTGCCAAATTGATATGAAAAACATGGAGATAGTAGATGAAAAAACAAAAAACCAAAACCCTTGGTAACACTGAATTGCTCACACTTTCACCATTAAGTACTTATGGAATAAAACATGATTCTCAACAAAAGCACAGAAACAAGACCGCATTCTGAGCTCTGTATTACTCAACTGAGTGATTGGATTTTTACTCTCTTTTTCCATCTATCAACAATTTTTGTTCCACAATAGCCGGCTCACTATAGCGAAAGGGATACCAACTGAAATTACACTACAGTAAACATTAACACTTTGTAATCAGTCCTGGTAATCCATACTAAAGCTAATTTATCAATCTAATGATGTATTTCATTTACCAGCACGCAGTGTGTGTTAAGAAACAAAGTGAGAGAATTTTTTGTTCTCTACAAATACTGAATGATAGTGGTATTCACTTGACTTCCTTGTATGCGTATGAATATTATCCTGTCATTCACAATATCTTCAAGATGGATCTAGCAATGACGTTTTTAACTATGAAAGCAACTCCATTTTTTTCTCACCTTTTCATCTCCAGAGTAATATATCATATGATCATCCGATTCAAAATGCCCCATGCCAGTCCATCTCATCTCACCAATGCTTAGTATGTCAATATTTATGCATTCCATTTCTTCCTTAACAATATCTAATTTTCCTACATTCATGGTTCTCAAATTCCATGTCCCAATAACTAGTGTCTGCTTACAA